AAAATATTTCTATATAGTACCAATCCTTCCACCATTTGCTTTAGCTTCAGTGCCCACATCCATGTTATGAAAGAGTCTGTGTCATAAAGAAATCCAGAGCACTCCCGAATAGTCAGCACCCTGCTGCCAGATTGTCTGCTGTCAGTTTGTCTCCTGGCCTTGATGCTTCTTTGTCTCCTTTCTCATCATCTGGTTTGGAAGCACTAATACCCATCAGGTTGTCTTCTGTTACGTGGTGTCTTACTAGCTTTTGAATTTCTCTCCAAGGTCCTTCTCTTGGGAAAATAAAAAGCTCCATGTATAAATGGACCTGTGCAATTCAAACCCGTGTTGTTCAAGGGTCAACCATATATTTTGTTGTGGGTGGAGTGTTTTATAAAAGTCAACTAGGTCAAGTTGATGGATAGTGTTCAAGTCTTCCAACGACTCACTCTTTTTCCTTCTGTTTATCACTGATTGACCAGTGTGGAATCCCCTACTCTGATCATAAAATTATCTGTTTCTCCTCTTGGTTATGTCAATTTTTGTTTCATATATTTTTAATTTCTGTGTACATGTTGGATTGTTAACACATACTGTTTTTTTTTTTTCCCTTTCGTTTATATCTTCCTTTCTTATGTGGTTAAATCAGGAAAGACAAAAACATAGCATTTTCATTTTCTTGTTTTTTTAAATTGTGATTTGGGTGAACATTTACAGAGCAAATTCACTTTCCATACAGTAGTTCACATACACTTTGTCTCATGACATTGACTACAATTTATCCCAATGCAACAGCTCCTCTCCCACTTCTTCCCGATAGTTACCTCTTCCCTGTGTCCATCCCTCCATGCACCTCTGCCCCCTGAGCTGTCTCCCTGTACATAAACAGCCCTTCTTTCTCCCATGATTGTTCTCTCCAAGGAGTATATCTACCTTAGGTAAATGTTCAACTCATATGCCTGTCTTTTTGGCTGGAAGCAGGTGAGGGTTCAATTCCAGACTTGAAGGGCAGCTAGGGACCATATTCTCAGTGGTTCCACCAGGCTCTATCAGATCAGCAAACCTGATCCCTTTTTTTTTAATTCCCTCAAATAATTTTGAGTTGTGTTCCACATTGTTCTCCCTCTCTGCTCTGGTTACCCAGTGCCACTCTGACAATACATATACCGCAGATGGGATGCCCTTAACAAACAGGAGTTTATTCTTACAATTTGGAGGCTTTAAGTCCAAGTTCAAAGTGCCAGGCTCTAGGGGTTGGGTGAAAGCCCCTCAACCTTGGGGTCCAGCTCTGCCTCCTGCTCCCAGCCCACTGGAGCTAGAGGTGTTTCTTCACTCAGACACAGCTGCTGGCTGCTGAGGCTGAGAAGCCCCAAGGTTGACAGGTAAAAAGGCACAGCCCCGATGTTACCAAACCATTCGGCAGGCCATTAACTTAAGTCCATTGTAAGTCCCAAGGTCGGCAGAGCATGGCAGGCTATTGAACAATGACACAGCTACATGCAGGGTCCAAGCGTGCCATAGGCTAGAGACCATTCCTAAGGCTTCTCCTTAAATACAGGAAAGCAGATCACATCACAAAGGCAGCTACTCAACTGTTTGTGGTAGATCCACCATGGAGTTGATTGCCAGTCTCATCATGGGGAATAACTACCATCAGCTGCCCAGCCATTCAACCAGGCCCCAGCCAAGTTGACACACAAATGTAACTACCACACTCTCTATCCAGGATCTCCTACATAGATCGCCCTCCAAGTGGTTGACAGTAGTAGCCGGACATGTTAACACATTCTTAATGGGGTGACTCTTACCATTATGAAATGTCCTTCTTTGTCCTTGATAATAGTACTTATTTAGAAATACACTGCCTGCTATTGATTTAGCCACTACAGCTTTCTTAAAATTAATGATGCTTTAGTATTTCATTTTATCCTGTACCATACCTGTGGGTTTATACTTAACATGAGCTTTTGTAGCTAGCTTTTTAATTCAGTCTAACAATCTTTGCCTTTTAACCGAGATATTTACCAATTATATTTAATGTAACTGCTAACCAGAAGGCTGACGGTTCAAACCCACCAGCCACTCCTCGGAAGGAAGGTTGGGCAATCTACTTCCGTAGTGATATTGCCTTGGCAACCCAAGGAGGGGTCGCTCTGAGTTGGGTCTGACTCGCTGGCACGTAACAACAACATTTGTATGGTTGGATTTAAGTCTACCACCTTGTTATTATCTATCTGTACTTTGTGCTTTGTTCCCTTTTCACCATCTTCTTCTGGTGTGATTGGATATTTCCATGATTTCATAGGAGCTCGGGTCACGTAGTGCCTAAGGCACTTGACTGCTAACCAGAAGGTTGGTGGTTCAAACCCACCAGCCACTCCTTGGAAAGAAGGTTGGGCAATCTACTTCCGTAGTGATACTGCCTTGGCAACCCAAGGAGGGGTCGCTATGAGTCCGGTCTGACTTGACGGCACATAACAACGTCACAACATGATTTCATAGTATTTTCTTTATTGCCATGTTAGTTATCCTGGAGCTCTCTGTGTCTCCAGAGCTCTGCCGTGCAACTTCCAGCCCCCTCAGCCTTTCTGACTTCTTAACCTTAAACTCTGCCTCCTTAACCATTTGAGATCTCCATACTCTCTGCATGGGGCCCCTCTCCTTATTCTTGGTCCAGAAAGTACCTCCAGGCAGAAAGCCAGAGTAGTAATAGGCCTCATGTTGTTTGTTTTCTTTCTCTCAGGAACTGTAGTTTCATATATTTTCATATATTTTGTCCAGTTTTCTGTTTACAGTGGGAGGGTAAGTCTGGTCCTGTTACTCCATCATGACTGGAAATGGAAGTCTGGATTTATATCTATTCTCACCAGATGTCCTCTCCTCATATGCTTATGCGGAGCAAGTGTGGTGCCTTTAGAGGACCCTGGTTGGATCACTACCTCTGTGCAGCATCCCATTGGCACAACACGGAGAGGTAGCTCTCAGAGTCATGGCACAGATGCTGGGCTCAGTGTCAAGTGACCTAGTTAGTCTCAGATTATAACTCTGCTACCTGCATTGTGAGAGTTAGGGAAAGTCACTTCCCTTCCCAGAAAGGACAGAAAACCCACTTCATTATAATTTGGGTACTCAGAGTGGGCAGGGAAATTGGGGTCATGGTAAAAGCAGACTATTGAATCAGAAGACTTATGTGTATGATCTGACTCCTTCTTACATATTATAATCATTGTTAATGGAACCATTTATCCAACATGGTGGTAAGATTAGATAAGAGAACAATAAGCATGTGGCACGTGCTCCAAAGCAGTGCTCAGAAGATGTAACTGAGTCCAGGGAGGCATAAGAAGCTGTAAAGGAACTCTGGTGGTGTACGGCCTAAGGCATTGACTGCTAACCAGAAGGCTGGCGGTTCAAACCCACCAGCCACTCCTCGGAAGGAAGGTTGGGCAATCTACTTCCGTAGAGAAACCGCCTCAAATACCCAAGGAAGGGTTGCTATGAGTCAGATCCACTTGAGGGCAGTGAGTTTGAGTTTTATTATTACTATTCATAATTACTATTCATAATTCCAGTTGTCCTTTCAGTAAAATAGAGGACAATTTTGATAACACCACAATGGTTTGAATTTGTTAGACCTTACAGCTCTGGTGGTGTAGTGCCTAAGGCATTTGACTGCAAACCAGAAGGCTGGCGGTTCAAACCCACCAGCCACTCCTTGGAAGGAAGACTGGGCAATCTACTTCCATAGAGATACTGCCTCAGAAACCCAAGGAGGGGTCACTATGAGTTGGGACTGACTCCATGGTAGTGAGTTTGGTTTGGTTTGAGTTTAGCAATATAAAGTAAAGCAGAGTTTTTAACAAGACTTTACTCTCCTTACTAGTTATTTCCCCTGCTGTTTGACTCTGTTCATTTCCTTTTTATTGCTTTGTGGGTTTGAGTTAGAGGAGGATATGATAAGCCACTCCCTAGAAGGAATAGACCATTTTCCAGTAATTTATGGCCTTTTGAGTTTGCATATCATGGCTTTCTCAGTTCCCCATTGGAGGCCCCAGCCCTGTGGAACCTATTTCCCCCCAAAGAAAATATGGGAGAGGAAGTGTAGAGTAGTGGAAAACACAGGGACTCAGTGTCACCACTTTAGCTAGGTGAAGTCAGAAACACTGTTTCAGAGAAACCACCATAGTATGGATGGTGGTTTCAAATCCTAGCTTTGCCACTTCGTTGACAAGCTACTTCCTAAGGAAGGTTGTATAAAAGACCCCCTGTCCAGAGCTGTGTACTGAAGAGCTGCCGCTCCTCTCCCTTGACAGCTCTCTAGCATGGTAGTCACTCTTCAGGTACCTTAGGAATATCCAGCACTAGGATGTCATGTCAGCCATAGGTGTGTATCATTGTCACCTACAAGGACACAGATCTACCCAGCATATTTCTGTGCTTTGGAAAAAGACTGGGGTGGAGAATCACCATTTCAGATAACACAGAGTGTGCCAGGAAAGAGGCGGTCTCCTTTTCAGGTGGAAACAGAAATGAAATGCAAAATTTGGTTGATAAACCAGAGGAAATACTGGGAGTTGAGAAGAAGAAAAGCAGAGTTTATTTTTACTATTAATAATAATGACAGATGGTTTTATTGAGTGTTTACTCTATGCCAGGTCTCTACTGAGTGCTTTTCGTGCCTTATCCCTCAGATGAAGAGCCTGAAGCTCAGAGAGGTTCTCGGTGACTTGTCCAAGTGGTACGTGGTTAGTGGACGATGAGAGTGGAACCCAGGCTGTCTGACGTCAAAGACTGAACTCCTAATCACTATATTCCACTACATTTGTACAGAAAACTGGGCGAGGCATATCTGAGTCAAGTCTCATTTTTGATAGGAACTTGTTCCGTGACCTCTGGTAGATCATTTCCCCTCCCTGGATCATAGTCCTCCCCATCATCTTAAAAGGAGATGATGCTGGATAATTTAAACCCCTTCTGGTTTTCTGTGACAGCGTATTTTAAATGTGTATGTGTTTTAGGCTGAGGAAAAGGCAGATGCACTCAATAAGGAGCTGCTTATGACCAAACAGAAATTGATTGATGCAGAAGAAGAGAAAAGACGGCTGGAAGAAGAGTCTGCTCAGGTGAGGGGAACGTTAGCCCCCCCCCCCATTCCTCTGTGTCTTACAGATGCTTGAGAGTTGGAATTCAGCTGGGGGCGTGGGGCTTCCTGAAAACCCAGAAACAGCTGGCTCATGCCAGCTTCTCTGCACAATCCCGTTGTATTTACTATGTGACACGTGATGCTCTTCACTCAAGCCCGGGAGGAGACAGTGGGTCACAGCCCATCTGTCAGTGGAGCAGAGGAGATTTCTGTGCATCAGCATCTGAGTGTAACAGACAAGAGGATTAGCATTTCTGCAGAAGGAGAGCAGACGTAATGCAATCAGTGTCTGACTCTTCCCTCCGTTGTCCCCTGATGCTTCCCCCATAAAGCAAACTCTGGAAGTTTTACTCTGAGCCAGGTCTTCACAGCCACTGGGGCACAGACCGATAGCCAGCAGGAGCTTTGGGTGCTGTACACCCTGGAGCACGTTCTTTCCTCCTCTCCCCGCCATAGTTCCGCCTCATAGTGACCCTCTCAGGCTGTGTCAGGACTGCCTAAGGTGAGGGATGACAGAGCACTGGGTGTATATGTGAGGTGCGAAAAATGACATCCTCAGAGTAGCTGTTTGATCTGCGTGTGTTTGGCCTATACCTCCTCAGCCAACATTCTTCACAGAACCTGCTGCACTGGCAGGAAGGAATTTCAGTGAAAGTTCCATGTAATGAGATTTGATATTTCTGGAATTTTTCACTGTTCTATCCCTTTCCTGGCATCAAGAACGGGATTAGTAGCTGCTGAGAGTGAAGGAACAAAGTAGACGACTTAGGGCCCTTCCAGAGGTAGGTCAGGCACTTTTCAGAAAGCCCAGCATTAAGTTCCAGAGCTTCCTTTATTTTTCCCTTAAAGCATTCACTTTTGCTTTTTTATGTGTGCAGTTAAAAGAAATGTGCCGTCGGGAGCTCGACAAGGCAGAATCTGAGATTAAAAAAAACAGTTCTATCATCGGTGACTATAAGCAGGTGGGTCCTTGGGAATGGGCCACACACTAGAAGCCCTGCTTTTCTGGATAAAATGTATGCCCTTCAAACTCAAATGCTTGAAAACACCCTGGTTTCAAATCCTAGCTTTGCCACTTTCATTGACAAGCTACTTCATTCCATGGACAAGTTATTTCACTTCTTTCTCAACTGTAAAACATGGGAAATAATTCTTGTCTGGCAGGACTGTTTGAAGAATTCCATGAGATTATGTCTGTAGAGTACCCAGCATAGTGCCTAGCACATAGTAGGCACTTGCTAAATGAAAGCCACAGTACGTTCTTGGGCGCACTTGCATTTTGGAAACTAGTGACTTACGGTCATGTGGCAGTCCATTTCTCTGCCCAACTTGTTGGGTAATAAGGATATAACTGGTCTTGTTCCTTCCTACATCGGGATCTCATGTGGTTCATTAGGCTGGGACGTTTCATAAACCATTGGCCATTGAATGTGCCACCAAAAGTTTCCTGCCAGTCCTAGGCCAGTGGATGCAGAGGTGGCACAGCTGCTGGGACTCCCGCTCATCCGTCAGGCTCACCCACCTCCTGTGCAGCAGCAGTCTGTTTTGTACTGTGTTAGTTCCACTTAGCATATTAATATTCTAGCTCCCACTGTAGAATTTAACTTGAGCCCAAATTATGCAGATGATTATATTGCTCCCGAAATTGTTGTTTTATGTTTAGATTTGTTCTCAGTTGAGTGAAAGATTGGAGAAACAGCAGACAGCTAATAAAGTGGAAATTGAGAAAATTCGGGTAAGTCGTTAAATCTTCCTTTACCAAAGAGATTTCCTATCATCTAGTTCATTGTTGGCCATATTCAGGACAGTGGGTCTTGGGAAGGGGCAGTTTTAACCTTGATTTCAAAAGTGAAAGAAGCCAACAGGTGCTTGGTAAGGTGCTTGTCACAGGGCTTGGCACACTAATTGGCGAGTAATGCTATCTATGCCTGTCTTCTCTAGAAGAAATAATATACTAGAACAGAAGGCTCTGGCTTTAGATTTCAAAGTGTACATGTGTCACAGAGCTCCTCCAGGATTTTCCCATGTCGTCAGTAGAGTTGACTGCTACAGTGTACCCAAGGGCCACACACAGCCTGAGCAGTCCTCCAAGGAAGATTTTGAGTGAAGGTGGGCTACAGAGGTCAAGAACACATTGTCTTTCCCTAGCGTTGTTCTATAGAATGGAAACACTCTCCACCTGAACTCATTCTGTCTGCTATAAAACATCCAAATTCAATGAGAAAGATTACAAACAACATTTTCCTGTTTGGTTTTTTAATTATTTTTAATGTGTTGTGAGTTTGGTTTTTGTCACTTGGTGCTCTTTTTTTTTTTTTTTAAAAAAAGAAAGCTATACCTGTATTTGTCAAATTTTACTAAGGTGAGTAATTTACTGAAAGATAGTTCACTGACATATTTGCAACTGAGTGGACAGAAACATGGGGAAGTACTTAAGCTAGAGGTCTCTCCTTGTGGCTGTGTTTGTACAGCAGCAACATTCTGGGGTGTTTGTGGAGCAAGATTCCTCAACTCTGGCCTCCAACATGTTAGTGTTTAACCAGGAGGGTCCTGTAATCCCGTTACAGCTGGCATCACACTGTGGTGTATAGTTTTTCAGTTTTTGTTCCATATTAACTTTAACATACCAAATTTTACTTGTTTGAATATTAAGCATTGTTTTTTTGACATTTATGTCTCTGAAATTAGGATGTTTTATAATTGATGGATTTTTGTGGCTTAATAGTAGCAACATTTCGTCTTGGAGGAATATAAATCATGGTGTTGACTACAGTCATTAGCATCTTGCACAGTATATATTTATTTGTGAGCATACTTTATGTACATTTTTGTGTTCTATTTCTTTTACCCAGCATTTAAGCATTTTCTAAAAGAGCCTTTAGCGGGTGCATACTTCCTTATATACGTATAAAACAACATACTTAATTACTTCTCAATTGTTGGATAGTTTATTATCCCCCCCCCCCATTTCTAATTTTGCAGTGAAAATACTGGTACATCTTTATCTACTCACTGCTTCTTCGTTTTCTTAGCAAAAGTCCCTAGAAGTGAGCTTCCTGGGATAAGACCTAAGAATATTTTTATTGCTTTGGACATAAAATTCCAGGTGGCTTTCCCAGTAAGTTGTCTCCCAGCTTTCAAAGAGAGCAGTTTTTCAGGAGCAATACTTCTTCAAAACAGCTCTGGTGGCACAGTGGTTAAAGCATTGGGCTGCTAACCAAAAAGTCAGCAGTTGAAACCCACCAGCTACTCTGTGGAGGAAAGATGAGGTAGTCTGCTTCCGTACAGATTTATAGCTTTGAAAGCCCTCGGAGCAGTTCTGTTCTGTCCCCTCAGGTTGCTGTGAGGCAGAGTCAGCTCAGTGGCAGAGCTTGGTGGCACTCAGCATGGCTCTCTTGGCCTCCTAGGAAGGAGATGCTCATACTGTCCTAAAGGGCATTTTCTCTTGACATCAATCACTGTCCCTTTACATTCGACATTCCATTTCAGCAAAAAGTGGATGACTGTGAGCGTTGCAGGGAATTTTTCAACAAAGAAGGACATGTGAAGGGCGTCAGTTCAGCCAAGGAGGCTTTAAATGAGGACCCAGACGAAGAGAAGGCGACCCTCAAGAACCAGCTGAGGGAGATGGAACTGGAACTGGCACAGACCAAGCTCCAGTTGGTGGAGGCTGAGTGTAAGATACAGGTAAAGCCATGGGCTCTGGGGCCCACTCTTGGTGAGCAAATGTGCTCTCTGCTGCTGGTACAGTGGACTCAGACACGTGTGTGGGACTAGATTTCCTCATGTGAACTGGAAACCTTCAATGTCATGTTAATGGTTGGTTTTTTGGTTGATTTTTCTTCTTAAAAAGAAAAAAAAAATCTTTGACTATAATCTTCATAGGAAGAAGCCCAATACTTAAAATTTGCTGAGTAGGTTTAGTCAGTGTTTGGCTTCGCCTGTGGACTACACTTTGTCATATTGATGATGATACCTACAAAATTTAGAATCTTTGTAGAAGATGAATAGAAAAGCACATGCTCTGAAACCATCCCACCACACCCTCAGACCTTGTGTTACTCACATAGCCTTGCTGCACAATGCGCATGAGCAGAGTCCCTAGCTGATAGGATTGTTTGGAGGACAGAGTAAGACAATGCATGGAAAGGGCTCAGCACATCCATAGGGAGGGCTTCATAAACGTGAGCTTGAATTTTCCAGCTCCCATCACTTACTAGCTTGTGACCTTGGGCGTATCCATTCCTGATGAAGCAGTAGGGGCTGTTTTGGTCATCTTCACACTGCATTGCAAGTTCCTCCAGCACTGATACTTAGCACAAGGCTGGCACTAAGCACTGTGGGAGGAACAGAGCTTAGGACAAAAGCTTAGGATCTGTGGTCTCCCTTCTTTGCACACATTCACTGGGCATCTGCTCTTTGCCAGGCCCTGTTCTAGGTGCTGGGACTGCAAAGCTAAGACGTGGCTTGTGTGACTGTCCAGGACAATCAGGAAAGGCATCACACCAAGGCAGCAGTATCTGAGCTGTGATCAAAGAATGAACAGGGGTTTGCCAGATGCAGAAGAGAAAGAACAGTGAGCATTCCAGGTGGAGAGAGTGGCATGTTCAGTAGCATAGAGGGCCGGAAAGGCCTGCCCTGGTAGGGAACCTTAGGCTCCTGTGAGCGCCTTCCATGTACTAGGGGTGGAGGTGGGCTTGAAGGCTTGTGAGGCATCTCAGATGCCATGCTAGTTTAGACTGTAAACATTTGTGCTGGAAATTAATGATGCTCCATTTGCCTGGTATGCAGTGGCTGGACAGGGGAGGGAGACGCTAAATTAGGACGCGGTTTTAATAAATAGACGAGAGAAAGGTCTCAGATCTTTAGGCATTCCAGAGGCCTCTCAAGGGTAAATGGACTGAATTCTTGTCTTGGCTCAGCTCTGGGGAGACAGTGTCTCTGACACTGGCGCGCAGCATCCTCATGTGCATTGTTCCTGTTGCAGGACTTGGAGCACCACTTAGGCCTTGCCCTCAATGAGGTCCAGGCCGCCAAGAAGACATGGTTTAACCGAACACTGAGCTCCATAAAGACGGCAACTGGGGTTCAAGGGAAAGAGACTTGCTGAGGGCAGCTGCTGCTTCCAGACACCTTCAGAAAACAAGACACCTTTTGTTGCCTTCTTTGGCCAGATGTGTGATTCTGTGACATGTCCCAGGACCAGAGTGTACCTAAGTCAGATCCATAGAAGCATGCTGGTAGGTCATTGGACCAGAGCTCACGAAGCAGGCAGCCTCTGGGGTAGGGCTTTTCTAACTACTGATACTAACAGGCCTGCTAGCTCAACTGATGCTCTGAACACGTTCTATAAACACTCCCTGGTGTTACTGCCCAGGCCTTTGTCCAGTGTAGGTCACCACCTTAACCAGCCCAAAGGCTGAGTTTACATGATCAGAATTGGGGGATCCTTTGGTGTGTTGTTTTTTCTTAATCTTTAATTTTTAAAAAATAAACATATTATATATACAGATGGGGGGAGGGGACCAGGGGATCAGTAACTCGAAATAATTTGTATCTGCTTCAGTGCCAGCAGAGGGTCCCCCAGGTAGACATGGAAAAGCACTTTGTTTTAAATAGGAAGGTTTCATGGTTGTAGTTGAAGCCACCTAGTTTTGTTAAACTATAAAATGCACAGGTGTTTGGTTTGTTTGGCATTATTCACATGTTTCTGATCAATTCTATGCAACTCTCATAGTTCCTGTTTTTTAGCGTTAGCTGCCAAAATCACTTCACAATGTACATTGGGTGACTTAACTGTGAGACTGGATTAATCAGAACGTGGACAAATCTTAATTTTGCTTCATGTGTCATGTATATGTGTATATATAAATATCTTTTCCCAAGACACCCACTTGACAGTGTTTAATCCCAGACTAGGACTGCTGATCTGCACAACTGAATCCTGTGGTCGTTTGGGCACTTGATTCCACTCGAGGCTTGTGAGGCTCTGCTCTTCCCACCATCCTGGGACCTGTGATGAGATCCCTCACTTCAAAGTTCCTAGTGTTTTTGCACAACACATTGTACAAGTGAGAAAGTCACTGAGCTGTGTGTGTGTTTGTGTAAATGTATTGTGCAGGATGCACATGCTGCAAGGCCACCATCCTCCTGTCCTCTGTCCCTTCCCCGACTGCCTGGCCTCATCTGCTCTGCCTGAACCTTTGGACCCTCCTCAGAGTGTGGTTGGGTATGATCCCACTGTTCAGATGGGCTGCAGGTTCTCATTTCAGAGCTATGGAATGGAGTTTTAGCACCTTTAATTTATATAGTTCAATGCTGACTGAAGCTGTCTCACAGATCTCACCGTCTTCTCTGCGTGTAGTGTGGGGTCACTGGGTAGCTAGTTACAAGAGGCACTGGTTTGTACATAGACACACTTGGGTTCTGTATCTCATCTCGTTAGCTGTACTAAAGCTTGCTGAGGTCACCTGTGATAAGGAAGGTAACATGTGGCAACCCTTCCCCACAAAACCATCCTCCTCCCTCCCCACCCTGCTGCTTTCTGTGTTGTCCTTGTTCAGTTACCGAAACGGCTGTAAGCCCATCTAACACTAGGTGCGTGGACATTGTGCTAGGATAGTTTCAGTGTGTCAGCTTTATGAATTGAAATATAAACCAGTAAAACTGTATTACTATTTCTTTTGTTGGTTTTATTTTAACAAGCATATTCATTAAATATTTTGGTATAAACAGTACTGCTTTGTAAAAGCCAGCTTTATCATTATGTGTTTCTGCCTCTTGCCTCCCCACATATAAGCAGAATCACACAATTCCCCACCCTTCTGTGTGCCAAACAGGTTTGAGTAAACTCCAGGCAGTTCTTGTTCTTTCAGTTACTGGGCAGCTAACAGGTGCCAGGCAGTGCCCAATGAGAAAAGACACAAGCCTTGTCCTTTGGGAGACTGATACTTAAGCATTAGTTACAAGCATTGCCCCTCTTTTGGAAATAAAGAGGAGTGTGGTCACTGGAGTGTGACACTGTGTTTGAGGTTTAGGAAATTCTTAAAGGGTGTTAAGAGTGGAAGTAGGCTTTGAAAGACAAAAGCATCTTACCAGACAGTATTCTGCTCGTTTGCAAGCCATACACATCCCTGCCCACAGGGATGCCTTTGTCCTCTCTGCAACAGGACGAAGAAGGAATGCTTCTCTAACCCTCCAGGACCCCACCCCACCCAGCTCTTGAACAGAAGCAGGCTGAGAGAGACCGCTAACTTCACACATGCGGGAAGGCAAGAAGATTGGTGGGCAGCATCATCTCCCACCCCGGTCTTCTCTCCGTCTCACCGAGGCTAGGAAGGTACCTACCAAGGGGCCTGGCCTATGGCAGGTGCGGGCACAGTCCAGGCCGAGGGCGCCAAGCCACAGTGGCGATCCTTTGCTACTCAGAGGCTCCACGCTGGAGAGCATTTTTCTGGGATCCGAACACCTGGCCAACCCCTTCTCAGGGTGAAAGGGAGAAGAATTCAGAAGGACCAGTCTGCTCAAGGCTTTCCCAGTCCTTTAGGTCCCTGTGTTCAGGAATGTAGAAACTTAGCAGAAATCCTCACCCTTGCATCCGTGCCCAAGCCCCGAGAAAGCAGTGTATACAGCATTCAGCTGTGGCACACAGGGCCTGACTCAGATACAGGTCCTGCTCTCAGGAAAGTCCCCCAGTTATGTGGAGACCAAGACCAAAAAGAGTAACTCCAATACTGTGTGTGTGGTTAAGTGATGGACCAGGTGTGTAGGGTCCTGTGGGAATAAGGAAGGTGTGTGTCACTGCGAGAGAGAAGATGTAGTGACACAGCTGACCTGCACTGAGGAGAGGAACTGCTTGGGTCGGGAGGCAGGAGGACGACAGTGTCGGAGGCAGAAGAAACGGGGTCAGCACTCTGGTTTGCTTGAAAAGTGACGGGAGCTGAGGTGGGTTAATTAGATTGGGGCCATGCTGAAGAGTCTGAAGATGATGGAGAGCCACTGGAGAGTGTTAAGCCAACTTTAGGAACCTCCCTATTAGTTAGTTAGTCCTTTAAGATGAAAGATTGAGAAAATGAGAAATTAGGGTCAGATTAGGCTCAGAGCAGAAGTGCTAATACAGGGATAGACTGAGAAGGGAGGCTAGATTTTAGAAAAATTCCTGGGGAGTCAGTACAACTTGATGAGGGAGAGAAAACACCACACAAATCAACTTTCTGCTTTCACATTAAGGACTGGCGATGATCTGGAGGGTCCAGAATCTGCAGCAGCTCAGTCGTGTGGGCATCATCTCCAGCACAGTTTCTCAACCTCTGAACCAAGGACATTTCAGAGCAGGTCATTTGTTGGGAGGGGCTGCTGTCCTGTGCATTGTAGGGTGATTAGCAGCGTCCCTGGCATCTGCCCACTAGATTCAGTAGCACCCACCTCACCCCAGTTGCACAACCAAAAAATCTCCAGAAACTGCCAAATGTTCCTTGGGGGCCAAAACTGCCCCTCATTGAGAAGCACTGCTCTAATATGTAAGACTGTCCAGGGAATGTTCAGATGACATGAAGGGTAGATGGAGACCTAAGGACTGCCACTCAAGGGAGAGGAGAGAAGACAGACACACAGAACAGTGGGAGACAGTGGATGTCCAGAGATGAGGACCAGCAAGAACAAGACTAAAAAAGCTCACTGGATTTGACAATTGGGAGCTTACTGGTGACCCTGGCAAAAGCAGACTCTGAGGTTGGTGCGGGCAGTGGAGAAACCAGATTGCAGTGAGTGAGAAGTGGGTGGTGAAGAAGCACAAACAGGAAGTTGGCTACTAAGAAGCCCAGGGGGCATGGAGTGTGGCGGGACCATGGTTGGGAAGAGCAGAGCATATGGTTGCGTGTCAGGAAATCAAATTCTGGACCTGTGACCTTGGGCCCACTTCTTCCCTGGCAGTGTACTGAGGATTTTCCTAAGTTGGTAGGGGACCTGACAGGTTGAGGGAACTGTCTAGCGGGTGGGCCCTGCCGCTGCCTAGCTGATTGCTGAGCGGAGTTCATCATATTCACCAGGAAGGAGGCTCAGAATGAAAAGGTAAGAGGGATTTGGCTCAAAGCCCTGCCCGGCCTGCCACCTTTCCCTCTGCTCTGAACACCAAGGCTTGGTGGCAGGGGCTGAGCAATGAGATGAACAAAGGAAAGAAAACTCCACAAGCGAGGACAGTCTTGAGCCCACTCTCGGCTCTGGAACTGACTCAACAGTTGAAAAAACCAGATGTGTAGAGAGGAGTCACATCCTTCATGGGCCAACCTCCTGTTAGGCTCTCAACTCTGCTCATGCCCTGTTCTCCCTCCAGTGGCCAGAACACGACTATGAGCTAACTGATGTTATTCCCAGATTTAAAAAGAAAGGCTTGTTCATGTTCACGTTGTTTAACATATACCACCAAGTCCACCTTCTCTTCTAGGTTCCCAAGAGCAGGAGAAACGATGCCCCTTCCCAGCATTCCCCAGTTTCAATTCAACAAGCTCCTTCCTGTGGGCAAGCCTTGTACCCATGGACAAGAATGCCTGGCTTCCCCTTAAGCCTTTTGAGGCAAACCCTGCATGAGGATGGAATCCTTAGGCATCCCTTAGGAACGGGGCCACAGTACGCCTGGCCTGGTCAGCTCTTCTTTCACTCAATTCAGGATGATTCTGGTATGCAGGGAGGAAGTGGGACCCCCAAGTTACAAAATGTGGTAGAAATCCAGTGCCTCAGCCCACACAGCTCTCCCCTTACCTGGATGGCAGCAGCAGCAGCGAGTCTGGGCCTGGTTCCCTCGAAGACACCTCCTTAAACTGGGCCCGCTTTGTCCTCATTCCTCAGTGCAGGCTGACACCCTGCTGTGGTCTTAGGCACTCCACATTCCAGGGCGGCAAGAGCAGTAGGAAGAGCTTCAGCCTTGTATTCAAGCTGCTGCTGTCACTAAGAAGTTCTATACCCTGTGCCAAGTCATTTGATCTCTGAGCCTTAGTTTCCTTTTTCTGTGACGTGTGGGAAATACCCCCCCCCAACCCTCATAACAAGTGTGAGGCTTGAGAATGCTTGCGGTACAGGAAATGCACCTGATAATGTGAAGATTTAGTAAGATGT